ATGCTCTGTAGGAGGCTCTGTTTTGGACCCTGAGAGGTCCCATGAGCTTCACGGGTTATTCCATTGATATTTAGCCTCAGGGAGCACCTGGAATTTGGAACACACAGCCCTGTGTGGTGCAGTCTTCAAGGCTCCAGTTTCTTTGGGTGAATATTTTTCTGCCCATGGTCCAAGGCAGTCCGCCAGCTTTGGGCTGCGTCCCTGTGGCAGGCAAAGATCTCCCCGTCCTGTGGCCATTGACAGTTTTGCCTCCTGGCTTGGCTGAAGGAGCTCAGTTCTAACTGCATCAGAGGCCTGGGAGCTCAGCGCTAGCCCCCACAGGTGTTCAAACCCAAGCTCCTCATGCTCCTCTCTGGTGCAGATGCCCTGGGAGCTGCCTTGGTGTCTGCTCCTGCTGGGATTCCCTCCTTGGTTTGACCCCTGGGAACTTCCCTTTCTTCTTCTTCTTCTTTTTTTTTAATAATATGGAGTTTTGTTCTTCTTGCCCAGGCTGGAGTACAATGGTGTGATCTCAGCACACCGCAACCTCTGCCTCCTGGATTCAAGCAATTCTCCTGCCTCAGCTTCTCGAGTAGCTGGGATTACAGGCATGCGCCTCCACACCCAGCTAATTTTGTAGTATTTTTAGTAGAGATGGGGTTTCTCCATGTTGGTCAGGCTGGTCTCGAACTCCTGACCTCAGGTGATCCACCATGTCGGCCTCTCAAAGTGCTGGGATTACAGGTGTGAGCCACCGTGCCTGGCCTGGGACTTCCCTTTCTTGCACTGGAGCTCAGCGTCACACTTGTAAAAAGCACTGTATTGTATCCAGCATTTGCGGGTGTGTGTGGAGGGGTCATGTCTGTTCAGTCTGCCATCTCGACCAGAAGATCCCTTCTGGCCAGTCCCTACACTTTTGTCTTTACTGTCCCTACCCCAAGAAGCCGCCCCTTGGGGACTGTGCCTTGTGCAGCTCGGTTTCTAGTCCTTGTTAATGTACGTGCTCCCCTGTCTGCTCTTCAGAGACACAGCCCTCCAAAACACCAAGTATGCTGCTGGGCACCCTGAGCCATGCAATAAATACTTGCTCATTAAAGGAAAGCAAGCAACTTTCAATATTTTGCCACCAACAGCTGGTCATGCTGGCTGGTGGTACAGCTCACACCCCCTCTCCCCAGCGGGCCACTCCATCCTGTCAAGTAACAGAACTCACTGCAGCAGATGGGAGGAAGACTATAAAAAAAGAGTAGGCAATGACTGGCTCTTAAAGCCAATAATTCTAGCGGAGGCTTTTAAGGCTGGTAGGCAAAGGTGGTTTACATTTCTCAGCACCAATGTTTTTAACCTGGTCCCATTATACCTAGACTCCTATATATATTAATAGGATGCAATAACAGTAACAGTAGTGACTAATATTTAATATTTATGAGTATTTATAGAGCAGACATGTACTAAGCACCTTAATAGTAATATAAACATGAAAATAATTATGATTATCATGGCAGTTAACATACACATGGCACTAAGTTACAGGCACCATTCTAAATGTCTCATACATAATTCACTTCCTCTCAACCCCATTATTGACCATGATGACTCAGCTGGTGAACCCGAGGCACAGAGAGATTAAGCAACTTGCTCAGGGTCACACAGCTATTAAATGGCAGAGCTCCAGGCTCCATGTCTGAGCCTCCCTTCAGACTGCGCCTTCATGCATGTGTTTTCCACGCATTATTTCAGACTTCAAAACAACCCCATGAAGTAAGAACTATTATGATCCACTTTTTATAGAGATGACAAAATGGGGGCTCAGAGAGGTGTGCAGCAGGCTGAACACAGCACAGCCAGTTGCTGGGCCAGCTCTACCCAGACTGCAAAGCTGGAGCTGTAAGTGGGGGGCAGAGCACCTGGGAACCACTGTCCTCACGCACACACACATGCACACACATACACACACATGCACACACACACGCACATGCACACACCCACATGCACATACACACACACATGCACACACATTTACTTCTGCAAGTCCCTTAGATGCCTTTTCAAAAGCTATACAATTTGTTTTGTTTTGTTTTTGAGATAGTTTTGCTCTTGTTACTCAGGCTGGAGTGCAATGGCACAATCTCTGCTAACTGCACCTTTGCCTAGTAGGTTCAAGCAATTCTCCTGCCTCAGCCTCCCAAGTAGCTGGGACTACAGGCACACGCCACCACGTCCAGCTAATTTTTGTATTTTCAGTAGAGATGGGGTTTCACCATGTTGGTCAGGCTGGTCTCAAACTTCTGACCTTGGCCTCCCAAAGTGCTGAGGTTACAGGCATGAGCAACTGTGCCCGGCCTATGATTTGTTTTTAAAACTGTGTATTTCAAAGAATTTTGCTGAGGTTTTAGAATATATTTAAATAAATGAATGCCTTACCTTGCCTATCAATAGACCTCAATATGTTTCTAAAGTTAAAAAAAAACAAAAACAAAAACCCAGCCCTTCTCATACAGGTCAGCCCTGTACAACTGGAACTGCTTCAGAAAAACCTTCTCTGCCACGTCTCCCCATCAGGTGTCCTCCTGCCTGGGACAGGTGGGAGCAGAGCCTGGACGAGGGAAACAACCCTGTCTGCCCTGCCAGGAGTATGAGTCGCCAACAGGGTGTGCCCTGTTCTCCCAGCCTAGGAGAGAACCCTGGTACAGGCCAGCAGCAGAGGAGGTGGCAGAGGGGATCTGCTGGGTGGGGATGAGGGATGGAAGCTGAGGGAAGACAGGGGCCTGCTAGGGAGAGGGGGTGAGCTGTAGCACCAGCCAGCATGACCAGCTGTTGGTGGCAAAATATTGAAAGTTGCTTGCTTTCCTTTAATGAGCAAGTATTTATTGCATGTACCAGGATGCCCAGCAGTGTACTTAGTGCTTTAGAGTGCTGTATCTCTAAAGAACAAACAAGGACTAGGGGCTACGCAGGGGAGATCAGGAGCCAGATGTGACAACAGCCAGCCCGCTTCAGGTCCAGGCTCTGACATGAGCCGGCGGGGGTCGGGGGACCATGGTTCTATCCTCTGTACGATGGGCTGCTGAGATATGGGGTGGAACCATTTACCATCACAAAGTGCTTGCCATCTGTGCCTGGTACATCCGGAAGCACAGAAAAGCATTTGTTAGATAAGTCAGCACCTTTGAACTCTGAAACAGCTAAGCCCAGCAAAGGCCGCCACAAGGGAGGGGGTAGAAAGGCTTCCTTAGGAGATAAAAGGAAGAGAGCTGCCCACTCCATCCTTATCCAGGGAAACTACTGCTCATTCTCTGCCCCTTAAGGCCCTACTGGGGCATAAAGGCTGTCCTGGAACACACCTGTGCCGTGGGAGGAGTCTGGATGTCTGACTTCGGACAAGAGCTGGAGGGGACCCCAGCAGAGGAGCCCCATTCTGGCAGCTGTGGCTGCTGAGTGGACTCTCTGGCAGGTGACCTCTTCCCAGCTGCTATTGCTGGCCCCATGCTGCCACCGAGGTCCTCACGATACAGGGAGCAAGACCCAGGCTCTTGAGGAAATGCACCTGCACCCTTGTGGTACATCTATTACCAGGGAGGGGATGGGGGACAGTACCACTAAGCCAAAAGATAGGTGCTTTCTTCCCTCCCAGGCACCTGAGCAAAGGAGGCTCGGCTCCAGAGAAGCCTTAAAGCAAGGACACAGCTGCACGGCTGACTGCATAGCCAGAAAGCTGGTTTTCATTGTGGACTAAATAGTAGCAATACAGTGTCACATGCATAATCTACTTGTAGGTGAGGTGAGAGTATCAGCATGGAGGGGGATGGGAAGGAAGGGAAAGGAAGAAAAACAGCATTTATAAAAAGGTAAAACAATCATTTTTTGGGTAAATATCTCTCCATGGGGCAGTGATTTTTAACCTTGACTCAACATTAATTCTCTAGTGAGTTTTTAAAAAAACCCAGTTGCCCTATGAAACCCCCTATACCAGTGAGTTTAGTGTTTTTTCCCCCCAAAATCAGCAAATCAAAACATTTAAGGTTACTCTTAGTTCAAAAACACATATTAGACTGATATTGAGCAGGGGTGGGCAAGCTATTTTTTGTAAAGGACTAGATAGTATTTTTAGCTTTATACCACAGCATCCTGCTGCATCCACTCAACTGTGTGTATAGCCAGAAAGCAGCCATAGTTAATACCTATGTAAACGCATGAGCATGGCTGTGTTCCAATAAAACTTTATTTGCAAAAACAGACAGTGGGCCCGATTTGGCCCACAGGCTGAAGGTTACCTACCCCTCACCTAGAAGAGATAGGGGGGCTTTTCTAAATCACTCCCTTAATATCTCCAAATTCCCCCCTCCCAACACAAGACCCCCACCTCCCTGCAAATCCATTTATAAAATTCATGTCAGAATAACCCCGTGGGGTGGGCAGCAAGTGGGTGTGAAACCAGACTGATCAGTAGATCTGCAGATTTTTGGAGCTGGGTGAAGGGGATGGGGGGCTCATTCCACGCTTCTGTCTACTACTGTATATATCTGAACACTTCCAAGACAGAAAGTTTAAAAAATAAAATTGTTCATGCCTATAATCCCAGCACTTTGGGAGGCTGAGGCGGGTGGATCATGAGGTCAAGAGATCGAGACCATCCTGGTCAACAAGGTGAAACCCCGTCTCTACTAAAAATACAAAAATTAGCTGGGCATGGTGGTGCACACCTGTAGACCCAGCCACTCAGGAGGCTGAGGCAGGAGAATTGCTTGAATCCAGGAGGCGGAGGTTATGGTGAGCCAAGATCTTGCCATTGCACTCCAGTCTGGGTAACAACAGCGAAACTCCGTCTCAAAAAAAAAAATAATAATTATAATAAAAAAAAATAAAATAAAATTGTTTAAAAAGGGAGGAAACCCTTCTCAGACAGAACCACAAACTGAAATGAGTGGGAAGTTTGGGGATCATATGTCCTGCCCGGGGCTGGGCCTTCAGGAAGCACGTGCAGACATACCAGCCCAGGGCACCGTGCAGAGGATACTCACGACCAGTACAGCAGCATGAGCAGGAAGGGGCAGATGATGAGGGCCTGCAGCACCTGCCAGTCCCGGCACAGGGCAGCTAGCCCAGGCATGAGGAACTGTCCCGCCATGGCCACGAAGCTCGCCACCATCGTAATCATGAACCGTTTTCCAGGGGGGCACAGCTCTATTCCTAGAACACAGAACCAACGAGAGAGAGATGAGTACCATGCTCGACAGCCCGGGGAGGGAGTCCTGGGTGCACCCGGGCCAGTGCACTGCTCAACCCACCACGACTGAAATCGTTTCCATCTGCTGCCCACCACAAGTGCCCTATGTGGTGTGCCAATGTTTTATGAGGGCACTGAGACTCCCAAATGGGAAGGGAAGTGAGATGGTTATTCAAGGCCACAGAACTAGTCAATGACAAGGGGATGCTGTAATTCAGAGGTGCTCAGCTCAGAAGCCAGGAAATGGTGCTGCTTATGAGAGAGATCACCCATTGTTCCCGCTTCCTGTGCTCTCCAGACGTCACTGAGCTTGCTGTCCAGCACGTTTCCCCTCATGACCATCCCGTTGCCATTCCTTCCTGTCCATGATGCTGTATTAGGGGCTACCTTGACCTCCAGACAGAACACCAGGCATGTCCATCTACTCACTACCACCCACGTGTACCACCCACCCCTTCTTCTGGTTCTTGCTCCAGTGTGCCTGGGGCACTCCAAGTTCCAGGCAACCTACTCACACTGTGAGATGGTGGGGAGGCTGAGCTGAATCCCACCTTGTCTATTAAACAAGACAAAAACAAACAATAAGGCTGACTCAGACCATATAGCAATGATCCTACCAGAAAGCCCCTTCTCCATGTGGGAGTTCTGTTGGCCATTGCAAAGTGGGAGAGTTGTACGTCCTTTCTCTGTCACTATGAGACACCTCTCCCTGGGCAAGGGCCATGTCTAATTCATCCTTGTAGCTCTAAAACCAAAAACAGTGTCTATTTTCAACAAATGCTCACTGAGTAGAGGGGGACCACAGCCCCTCTTATTTGCAAGGATCTATTCTTTTACTTTGACCTTAAGTCAAAAAGATCAGAAAACTTTTATCTGTAGCACCCAAGTGACAACCAATACAGAGCTACTGCATGAATCATTGTAATGAAAGCCCTTTATAGTAGAAAAGCAGCTGGGTTATATATATATTTTCCCTATAGAGCATGTAAAATTCTTCTGCAATATGCAGTATTCTCTAAAGGTTTCTTGCTTGCTTGCTCTCTTAAACGTAAGGTAAGAGGAAGAAGGAAAATGGGGGAGAAGAAGAAGAGGATAGAGGAGGAGGAAGACAGATCCTTGGGAGAGGACACTTTCTATGCCTGTATGTTAGAGGCTGTTCGGATGGTGGGTCTCATGGATCAGTTGTGACAGCTCATCTGCTGGCTGTCTAGAGACCACAGCAGAGGGAGGAGGTCAGAAGGCAATAAGAAGGGAAACAGACTAGACAGAGAACAGATGAATTACACTTGGCTATAAGGATATTATCAGCCCTAACAAGGAGAGGGCACTATGCCAGCCAATTCCTACAGCAGCTCATCTGCTGGAAAAAAAATTATTATGCCATCAGAATCTCCATTCCTGATCAGTCACAAGCAAACAGATCATCATCATAGCTAACAGCGAACAAGAGAGAAACCAGATTTTACTGATTATTGCTTAGAAAGAGGTTTCTACCATTTAATTAGGAAAACACGATTAAATGGCTCACTCTTGCCCATTTGCTGCGATGCTGTTAATTTGGTACCATAGGTCAGGTTCATTTAAAAGATCACTTCCTAGCAGGGTCCAGTTCTGGCATTTCTGCTCTTACAAATAAAAGAACACAAGGTCTTTAAGAAAAGACTAACAATTGTAGGTCTCATTTTCACATATTAAGCACAAGCAGTAAATTGGCTGCTATGGAAACCAGAAATCTACATTAGTGTGGTTAAGTTCAGTGTTGGAAGCTCGGCATGGGCTAGTATCAGATAAGGAAATTCAGCACTTGGCCATCCAGGTAACCTTTAAACAAAGTCAAAGAGATAATGTGGAAATAGCACGATGGCGTTGTTTCAGTGGTTTGCTGGTACAGCAGACATATGTTGCTTGCTGTTTTTCTCTTCAATACCTCTCTTTAATTTAGTGACATGATACAATGAAAATATATGCAATTGGCTAGGCGCGGTGGCTCACACCTATAATCCAGCACTTTGGGAGGTGGAGGCGGGTAGATCACAAGGTCAGGAGTTTGAGACCTGCCTGGACAACATTGTGAAACCCCGTCTCTACAAAAAATAAAAAAAAAATTAGCCGGATGCAGTGGCACATGCCTGTAACCCCAGCTACTCGGGAAGCTGAGGCAGGAGAATCACTTGAACTTGGGAAGTGGAAGTTGCAGTGAGCTGAGATTGCACCACTGCACTCCAGCCTGGGCGACAGAGCGAGACTCTGTCTCAAAAAAAAAAAAAGAAAATATCTGCAACTACACTTCTTTTACCAGAGCCTGCTTTGGGATGTCTAACCCCACATCCTAATCTACCCTGATGTGATGTCACACAAAGGATCATGAGGCCACTTCCCAGACCAGGTTCTAGGCTTGAAGATGAGCAGGGAAAATGGTCCCTGGCTGGGCCAGTCTGACTTCAGTCTCCTCTTGCTACAGGTGAATTGCTGTGGCAGGCACATCTCTTAGTGTGACTGTCAATATGACAATGATTAAATGGTCATAGTTTTTCTTCCAAAGTTTCTCTCAATCCTCTCCTGTATGTAAGTGGTCGGTGTGGTCCCTAAACCTTTGCCGCCTAAAGAGTGGTACACGAACCTGCTGTGTCGGTATCACATGTGAGCTTGTTAGAAATGCAGGATCTGAGGTCCCGCCCAGACCTATAGAATCAGCATCTGCATCTGAATGAGCTCCCAGACAACTCCTTGAGAAGCACTGGCTCACTGTGTTTCCCCAAAATTGTCAGCATGTTTTGCCTCGCAGACATATCTGTGGGAGCTGAGGGAGTGGAATAATTTTCTGACCTTTCCACTCCTTCTGTTTTTGCTGGTAATCCTAGCAGAGCCTCGACTTTATTTCATCAGGTAGAAAAACTCAGAGCACTCCAGCAGAGACTTGGTATTTTAGCATTCCTGCCGAGGCAATGGAAAAACACGTGGGCTGATGGAAGGACACAGGTGTGGCCATCTGCAGGTAACTACCTTATTTGCCTTGACCCACCAGAAAATCTTTCCGAACCGCTTGAATCTAACTATATTCTGAAGGTGGCTATAAAGACGTTTTTGTAAAAGAAAGCAATGAGTAAGAAACTGCAGGCACTTGAGGATTGCCATTAATCACATGTTTCTCTGGAAGATGAGGAATCAGTTTTTTTTTTTTTTTTTTTTTTTTGAAGTGGGAGAGGAAAGAACACACGAGGACATTTAAGCCTTGAGTCCTGGCATCCCTAAGGAGGGACGGGGATGCAGGTGGATGGTTTCTGCGGGGATCTGCAAGTAGGAGCATTTAGTGCAGCAGCTCCCACACCTTGGAGATGGTTCCAGCCACCTGGCCAGGCCCACTGGGGCTTGGGCTTGCAAGGCAGGGAATGATGTCCCCAGTCCAACTGCCCCTTCAGGGCCTGGCTAATGTGGAGAGCAGATCACTCACAGGCAGGCGTCCACAGCGCCGGTGGAAGACCTTGGCTGGCAGCTGTGTCCTGGTACTTGCTAGAATCAATCTCTTTGCCAATGGAGCCAAACCCAGATCCTCTTAGTAGATTTTTCATTTATGGGTAGCAAGACTCCCTCTGGTTATCTAAAACATTTAAGTGCCATAATAAAATATCATCTTGGGTGACGCATCAAAGATTCAGACATTAAACTATTTCAAGTGGCCAGTGTGTAGCACTTCCACTGCTGCGGTTAAAAGCCTGGACTCCATAGCCACAGTACCCGAGTTCACATCCTGCTCCTGGTACTTAGAAGCTGTGACCTTGGTTCAGTGACTTAGGAGTTCTGTGCCTCCATTTTGTTGTCTACAAAATGGGATGCTGTGAGCACTAAACAGCGTATTTTGTTGGAACATAACTGCTATGTGTTAGCGTTTATGATTAATAATCTCATGCATGATTTTTGCAGATTTTGGAATACTTGCATATGTATAATGAGGTATCTTGGGCAATGGACCCAGGTCTAAATACAAAATTCATTTATGTTTCATCTACATCTTACACACATATCCTGAAGGCAATTTTATATAAGATTTTAAGTAATTTTGTTCATGAAACGAAGTTTTGACTGTGACCCATCACATAAGGTCACGTGTAAAATTTCCTACCTGCAGTGTCGTTTAGGTGCTCAAAAACTTTCAGAGCATTTCGGATTTTAGATATTCTGATTAGGAATACCCAACCTACATAACAGTATAATTATTGCCAAGTCTCTCTTTGGTCTCGTTTGACATGGTGAGGTCCCATCTCTAAAAACCAGCCAACCAAACAACCAATCAAACACCTTAATGAGAAATGGTTACGAGCTACTCTTGGCAGCTAGATATACTTTGTCAATAAGCAGAGAAATTACTGAGGGTTGTGAGAATGAAACCGTAAGTAGCTGAGACTGAACTGAGGCATTTGGTCGGTGAATCAGCAGCACCATGACTCAGTCTGAGCACAGAGGCCGCCTGGAGGCTCTGATAGAAACGTGGCATTGTTAGGAGGCCATAGCTCGGGGAGATTTGCTTTTCAGAAGTTGTCAGATTCTTACCAATTTTCAGGAGGAAAAGAACATTGTGCCTCCCAGAGGAGTCACTTCATATGACGGAGGAGGAGGGCCCGAGGGAGTGGGGTGTAGGGGTGTGATGTGTCATGTGGCGAGGCTGTAGTCACGGGATTTGCTCAAGCATGGACTCAGGTGCTGCCGGGGAGATAGCTGATAGTTGTGAGTGAAGTCCAAAATCAGCTGACTTGGAGGGAGGGGCTTCTAGATAATTTGGGTGGGTCTTGCCTCATCTGTTGAAAGACCTGAACACCCAGCCAAGGCTTCCTTGAGAAGGAAGAAGATTCTACCTGTGAACGGCAGTGCCCGCCCTCATGCCCCGGAGTCCTGATGCCCTGAAGTCCTGATGCCTAGCCCTCCCGCTGGCCCCTCATGGATGTCAGTCCAGCCAACTCTCACAGTC